CTAACTTGAAAATTCAAGTTACAAACTTGAAAATTCAACATACTAACTTGAAAATTCAACATACTAACTTGAAAATTCAACATACTAACTTGAAAATTCAACATACTAACACATACTAACTTGAAATACTTGAAAATTCAAGTTACTTACTTGAAAATTCAAGTTACTAACTTGAAAATTCAACATACTAACTTGAAAATTCCAAAAAAAAAAAAAAAATGAATGGCCCTAATACGCTTCCGTAAAATCTGAAGGTCTAAATTCCTATTAAATTACGATAATAGAAATCTGACTCATACAGACATTAGAATGTAGCACTTATCATAATTAAATTTAACATGTAATTTTTTTACAATAGATGGCAAAAAACTACTAACCTTTCAAACAATCAGAAATGACAATGTAGCACTAGGTTACAGCATTTGATCTACCATTAGCATTGGCATTAGTCCTACTCAAGCAAAATGTGCATTCTGTTTTTAGTATAAGGCTCAGCATATCTCTTCTGCCTTACTGAGCATATTATTGTGGGTTACCGCTTGAAACCTCGTATATGCCATATTTGGTCATTTTGACTTTTTGGTATCGTTCAAAACCTCGTATTCTTAGCTTGATTGTAAATAACTCAAAAAGCACTAATTAAATAACACGTATATAAACAGTCAGATTTAAAACCTCGTAAAATATATTATTATACGAGGTTCAATGTTCCTTTTTCTGAGGATGAAAATGAAAAACCTCGTATACTGTATTATTATACGAGTTTTTGGTTCAATAGACCGGAGATCTCAAATTGTTATACGAGGTTTATATTTTCAAAGAATGAAAACCACGTATAGCGGTTAAAAAAATAATAATTTTTTTTTAACATAATACGAGTTCAAATATTTTTTTGCGTTTTTCTGGAAAAGTAATTCTGCGTCATATATCGTTATACGAGGTTTCAAGCGGTCACCTACTATATGACTCTTTTAACTAACTCAAAATCTTCTCTTCTAGTTAGATAGCTTTTAGAAATATCTTTGTAGATAAAAAACATAAGGCACCTGAGGCCAAAACTAGCTCTAGTTCTGAACCTAACCAAACAGAAACTGTAGAAGAATCATCCCCATCAAATGAGGACAAAGCAAAATCGTCCTCACCAAATGTGGACAAGACTGAGACGTCTTCGCCAAAAGGAGACCAACCAAAATCACCTTCACCAGATGCCAAGGGTGATGAGACTAAAGGGAAGCAAGACCTGGAGGACGATTTTTTTAAGTAAGAAAAAATAAAATGAATGGAGTTTTACGTCCTACTTTTCTGCACCATGTGCAATGAGGGAACGTACAAAACGGTCTACCTTTAAGGAGACGGAACCCAGCGTCAAGACGCCAGTCGCGACTCCCAGTCTTGGAGAGTTTTTCCTGTCGGCCCTCGGACGAACGTGGCCGCGGGAGGACCCGCTGCCGCCATGTGCGTTCGAGACGTCAATGGTCAGGCCGCGCTCTTCATCGACGCACGAGCCGAGTGATCCAACGTTTAACGTCTAAGGATAAATATAAAAAAAACTTTGTCATTCAGAAATAATTTATGGAAGTTGCACAGGTTATGTAGATTTAGGCCTACCGGTATTCTACATTGACTGGGAGAGAGAGGTAATAATTGAATTGAAAATGAAATTTACTGACTTAATACTTTAAGATTGAAAGATTATAGCCATGACATCCAGACGGAATGAGCATTAATTAGTCAAAAATAGCATCCCGATTCTTGCAAGCCGGCATTTTTCGTTTTACAAATTAAATTAATGGATAAATCACACTCACGTTTCAACAATTTTGTATGATGCCGCCATGATTAATCACGTGATCTCCGCTATGGCACCAGTCTGTAGAAAGGAGAAAACGGATATTCCGGATTACCCACGTGACGCGTAATAGAGTGGATTTGGACGAATCCGGACCAGCCGTTTTTATATGCCCACATCTCTCTTTGTGGACGTATATTGTCGGAATCAAATGAAATTCGGTATGTGTATACATATTCCTAAAACGAAGAAGCAGAGTTATTGCCCTTGCCCCAAACTCTTGAATATGCTATTACTCTCTTAGTTTTCAACCGATTTTGATGAAACTTAAAATGGATGTTATTGGACCTAAATCGTCCGTCAACATTTGCTTGTAAACACTCTATAAACTAGTTTTTTTGATGGAATCAAATGAAATTCGGTATGTGTATACATATTCATAAAATGAAGATCAAATTCGAATTTGAGCTATTTGCGACCGTTAGAAACAGAGTTATTGCCCTTGTCCCAAAATCTTGAATATGTACCATCTGCATGCCGTGGTGGGCATATATGGCTGTGGTCCACTATCTTTGTAATAGAGTTGGCCCCTAGATAGTATTTAGCTTATAGGTAGATTGCCGTTTCGGAGAGTTCATATAGTTTTAAAAGTAATTGTTTATGTAGGTGACTAATTCAGCATGCCTTTTAGTAGTTTTCATAACTAACAAGGTATTTTGATTTGGATTTGTCCACTAATATTAAGCCTTCTTTGTTTTGTCTACTCAGCAATCCTTTTTTCCGTCACCCATGTCCGTCGGTCCGTCCACAATTGCTCGTAAACACTCTACAAGACACAATTCTTGACGGATTTTGACAAAACTTAGTATGAGTTTTCGTAATCACCCAAGAATGAACCCTATTGAAAATCGATAAAATCGAAAAATATTTAATATGAGTTATTGCCCTTGTTCTTGAAACGCTCGTAAACACTCTCGAAGGTGCAATTCATGACGGAACTTGGTGTGAGCGTTTGTTATCACCCAAGGATGAACCCTATTTAAAATCAGAAATTTGAAAAATGTTTAGTATGAGTTATTGCCCTTGTTCTTGAAAACACATTCAATTTTAGTTCGTAAACACTCTAGAAGGCATAATTCTTGATGGATTTTGACGAAACTTTGCATGAGTGTTGCTTATCACCCCTGGATAAACCCTATTGAAAAACAGAAAAATCGAAAAATATGTAGTATGAGTTATTGCCCTTGTTCTTGAAAACGTGTTCAAATTTTAGTTCGTAAACACTCTAGAAGGCACAATTCTTGACAGATTTTGACGAAACTTGGCATGAGTGTTAGTTATCACCCTTGGATAAATCCTATTGAAAAGCAGAAAAATCGAAAAATATGTAGTATGAGTTATTGCTCTTGTTCTTGAAAACGTGTTCAAATTTTAGCTTGTAAACACTCTAGAAGGGACAATTATTGACGGATTTTGGCGAAACTTGGTATGAGTGTTCGTAATCACCCAAGGATGAACCCTATTGAAAATCAGAAGAATTGAATAATATTGTGTATTATTCGGTATCGCCTCAAAAAAGTTCAAAGGAAGTTTATGTCTGAAGTAGTTCTTACTGGTAATTGTTAATCCTTTAGCGACATTTAGGGGTAGAGATCATATTAAATAACGGAACACAATTTCACCTGAAGATGACAATGTAGATTGTTGAAACGTCGTGTGTAATAAAACTAAGGAGTAGTATACCATAAAATTGTGTTCCATTATTTAATGGTGATTGTTACTGTACTGCTAAATATCTTTATTTAAAATCAAAGCTGCAAGAGGTCGTATATTACCTTGCCTGAGAGTCGACATAACTAATGATGTATATTATTCGATATTTCATGTTTCTAATTTTCCAAGTTTTCTAAACTGATCTTCAAAAAAACTTAAAAATTGTACGGAAGCGTATTAGGGCCATTCATTTTTTTTTTTTTTTTGGAATTTTCAAGTTAATATGTTGAATTTTCAAGGTAGTAACTTGAATTTTCAAACTTGAAAATTCAACATACTAACTTGAAAATTCAACATACTAACTTGAAAATTCAACATATTAGCTTGAAAATTCAACATACTAGCTTGAAAATTCAAGAAACTAACTTGAAAATTCAAGTTACTAACTTGAAAATTCAACATACTAACTTGAAAGTTCAACAAACTAACTTAAAAATTCAAAAAAAAAAAAAATGAACGGCCCTAATACGCTTCCATAAAATTGTACTGGTGCACCCAGTTTAAATTGATAAAAATGGCATTAAATAAATGTAGTTATCTCCCTTAGAAAATAAAATTCTATTATCAATTTTCAGATGAAGAAAAGAAGAAAAAGAAGAAAAAAGACAAGAAGAAAAAGAAGAAATAAAAGAGTGACAGAAAAACTAAAGAATTAACCCTTTCAAGAACCCTTTCAACTCAAAGCACTGTTAAAAAAAAATTCTTCCCGAAATTGAAGTGGGAGCTGAAAGTGTTTTGGAGAGGGGAGATACTGGCAAGACAGGACTCACTCCACTAATTCATTTGCCATCTCTTCCCATGTTAAAACACGAAATTTAACCTTCTACGACTTTTTCCAGAAATCTCATTGAAAGCTTTCCAATATGTCGAATGAAAGACTGACTAATCCTTAATGTCTCCTAAAAAAGTCAATATATGATGACCATGAAAATTTTGAGCTACTAAAATTGAAAATAGATTACTACCGGTTATACTTATCCGCTAGAGTTTGGCAGTTCACAAAACGACTATTTTTAGAATGAGTCTTCCACCTTTAGGTCTCTCATCATCTCACCAAATCTTAAAGATAATGCAATTTCAGACATCAAATTCTAAATCTAGACCAAAAATTATCCCAAAAACCCCAAAAGGGAGAGAGGAAGAAGATTTTTAAAAATAGCCTGGACTACAATCATTTGCATAATATGTTTTAGTGGAGTGAGTCCTTATACCCAAAAATAACAATTGACTCTCCAAAATTTTTTCCAGGTGTCCCTTGCCTTTGTCTGCATAGGATTAGACATAGGGCAGTGTCCAATGCAGCATATATTATGTGTGATAATCGATACAGTACAAAATATAGTAGAGGTGAAACATGGCTCATACCACATTTTTATACGCCCATATCTCTCTATGTGGACGTATATTGTCGGCACCCCTGTCCGTCCGTCTGTCCGTCCGTCAACATTTGCTTGTAAACGCTCTAAAAACTAGATTTTTGGATGGAATCAAATGAAATTCGGTATGTGTACACATATACATATTCATAAAACGAAGATCAAGTTCGAATTTGAGCTATTTTCGATCGTTAGAAGCCGAGTTATTGCCCTTGCCCCAAAATCTTGAATATTTATCATCCGCATGCCGTGGTGGGCATATATATGGCTGTGGTCTACTATTTTTCAACCTGTCTATACTTTTTATTATAATCTATATGCATTGCACACCTCATTTGAAACTGTACATCTCTCATGTTCGTTCCTTTCTGTGATATTTTTTTAATCTTTTTTGACAGCTACAGCAATTTTTTTAAATCAGCATTCGTTTTAGAATTATCAACAGAATTATTTGATTCTTACCCCATTTACAGGTTTTGGTATATTTTGCAATTCTTGACTTTTTTTGCACATTATTAGCAATTCTATTTAGTGCTATACCTTTGAGAGTGTATTCACTTAAAGATGGGTTCCCTTATTTTTATTTATGAAAATGAAATTGCTAATACTTATATGAATAGAAAGTAGAGGTGTTATAATGACTTCTTCGAGCTAGCAAATTAAAGTGATACTACGTCTTAGAATGAATATAAAATTTAAGTTCTCGAAATGGTCAATATGAGTATATATTCATCAGTTAGCTTACCTGGTGTCATAAAGTTACAACAGAATCCCTGTAAAATCTAGAAAATTGGAAAATTCATAAAACTAAGTCATTATTGAAAAACGCTTAATCTTGATATTAAGCGTTTTTCAAAAGTTAATTGCATATTTATGGATAATTACTAAGTTTTTTGGATTTATCAGATTATATAAGGATCCTGTTATGTTATTTATGACACCAGGTATATCTACTGGCTCTTATTCGCCAAGTTTAAAATTCTTAAATTTAATGTTAATTCTAAGACGTAGTATCACTTTAATGGACCATGCCAGGTATTCTGTGTTAACGGCTGAATTTTATTTTGTCTGTGCTGTTCTATGTTTAGTTTTTGACCGACTGTTTGTTTTTACTGTTATATTACTGTGTACTGTTGATAAACATTTTCTGATTTCTAGCTTATTTTTCATTACTCGAAGCCAAACCAACCTTTAATAATGAGGTCTCAACCGCCTGACTACAAAGTCGTTTCCAAAACCTTTAAATATGGGTTCCCTTATATTCATTTATGAAAATGAAAATGCTAATACTTATATGAATAGAAAGTAGAGGTGTTCTAATGACTTGGAAAAATACCAGTTTGTCTCACATGTCTATAATTAATTCATAATTAGCTAAATTAGAAGAGAATTACCAGCAGAATTTCAATGAGTGACCGATCTAGAAAGATCAAAAAGTCATTTTTTGCTATATAAATATTAAGGAAACCCATCTTTAAATAGTGAAGTCTCGATGAACCACGGTAAAGTCTCATAAACCACCAAGGCCGGGGCTAGGCACATCGTGAAAATTGATTGCCCCACTCTGTCCGGATATATTACTTACCCCTCCGAACAATAAAGTCTGGCTGAATCCACCCAACAAATAAAGAAGGTTCAAAGCCCCTAACCAGACCTCGACATCCCCACCCCATAAGACCTACCCCCTGTGCAGTGGCGGAGCCAAAGAGGGGACAGCCCCCCCTTGGACCTAAACCTGGCTCCGCCACTACCCGTGAGCAATGTACCACTATTGTTTGGATTTTGGAACAAGTTTTTTTTATTTACAAATACACAAAACATAACGAGAATAAACACTGATTTTACAATAGCGAAACTCGGGTGAGTTTGGGAATACCAGCTGTGGTGCTGGTCCACCGAAAAGTGTTTCTGTAATTGAAGACGAACTGGTCGAAGGATTTTAATAATTAAATGAATTATAGGCAGTTGAAATCCGGTTCTATCAGCTGCCAAAGCAAATAATTAACATTTGAAATAATTTATAGAACGAAACAATTGTATCTTACAAAGGATAAAGGTGATTAAGGTCCTTAACGACTCTTTTTTCCAGCAAAATCATCCTCACAAAACCTATCGCTTTTGTTCTTTGATAAAATTTACTTAAAGATGGGTTCCCTCATTTTCATTTTCAGAAAATGCTAATACTTATATGAATAGAAAGTAGAGGTGTTCTTATGACTTGGAAAAATACCAGTTTGTCTCACATGTCCATAATTAATTTATAATTAGCTAAATCAAAAGAGAATTACTAGCAGAATTCCAATGAGTGACCGATCAAAAATGGTCAAAAAGTCTTTTTTTGTTTATCCAGACTGTACATACATGGACATTTATGATTGGTTAAAAAATTAAATTATATGCAATATAAGAACATAATGATATGATTAAGAATACATGATAATTCATTATAATCAAATAGTTTCTTAATTTGACACTAAAAAATAAGGAAACCCATCTTTAAGTCCTGAACGACCCCTTCTACCTACATCCTAACCAAACCTCTCGGCATTGATCTGTACAAGATTATCCCTGCTAATTTAACAAGGCGAGGTATTCATTCCATTGCAGGATTATAGAAACAGTAAGAAAATAGAAGGAAATAATCGTGTCACGATCCAAACCTTGTGTATTCACTTCTTCTATTTTCAACTGTATCAATAACTCTGTTATGCACCCGGTGCCTCGTATATGGGCATGTATGACCGAAAATTAAATCCGTGACAACCATTTTCCGGCTCGACTTAGCAGTTAAGATTCGGGGACTGTTAAGATCGGTTCCTAAGAGGTTCCTTCATGGATTTTACTGAACTCTTAAATTCGCTAAATAAACCTTTGTTTCACTATTGGAGGGAATGAGTATACGCTCGAGTCTTTGTTCCACGTCATCTAATGCAAGATATTCGTAATGTCTATCGCGATGTCGGCCAAAGAACTTTAACAAGTGCTAACAGCGTCCTGTGACGCTTGATTTCCGGTGTCTCGTCTAGCGATTTCATAGTAGGAAGCCGTTGTTGATTTGGGTCGGCTGTCGGCGTCGCAAATAGATGTAGTTAAATCTCTAGATGATCTTTGCGACATGTCGTAGTAGGACGATCGCCCGGATCTGGATCTGGAATCGGAGTCGTACATGGACGTGATGTGTGTCGAAGCTGTCCAGGATCGCGACACTCGACGTTTAGTCTCCCGTTTAGAACAGACGTTTCCAGTAAAGAAAAGATAAATCCAAGGATTGGTACAACTGTTGAGGGCCGCCAGAAGAACTATCAGATGGAACGCCCAAGCTGAAAAAAATACAGAATAATCTTAAGTGTTGGCCGAAAATGCACAATGGCTTCAGGGGCACAATACACACATGGTCAAGTCTGAGGTTCCGCATTCAAATGCTTTTTCAAGTTTTAACTCCTGGAAGGTTGGAAACGAATATTTTCAGTTCCCAAATTGTCTTGTCTATGCTTCTAGACATTACCTTTGGACCTTGACATGCCAAGAAGGTATTCAACAACTAATCAAACCAAGGTAAAGCATATCACTCAAGGATTGCGACAATATAAGCCTACAGCTACTTAGGTAGTGTTGAAAGAATAAATATGTTGCGGTTCCGAATTAAAAGTAATATTCACTAACCTGACGATGGTGCGTTTGTATCGTATGCCCACCACATCATAGCGGTAAACCATGGCGCCCAGCAGAGCAAATAGCAGATGACGACAGACAGCGTTACTTTGATCGTCTTGACTTTGGACTTGGACATGGATTTCTTGAAACTTTTCGGATTGATGCTGTTCCGTTTTAACAGATCGTCCTGGTTTGGAGGGACTGTCGAATTGGTGTTTTTTTTGAAGGATATCTTCCACATTGGGCCTTTTGTGCTGTTAAGCCTTCTGGAGCCAAGAGGTTGGTGTGCAGCTTGAGCTTTCGAACTAGACCAGACGACATGGCAAATCCGCCCGTAACAAAAGGCGAGGATGCAGAACGGAACGGCATATATTGAGACAAAAATCCAAGTAGTGTAAGCTTGGTACGTCCAGTTTTCCGTAAGGGCTCTACTGGACGAGCAATTCCATCGACCTCGTTCGTAAATATACTTGAAGATAATCATCTGAGGAATTGAAAAAACAAGGGAGAGAACCCAAGCGCCTAGAACCATTAAATGAGGTCTGTTTGGATTCATTGTCTGGCTAATTAACGGATGACAGATACTGATGTACCGGTCGATAGCAGTCATAATCAAAACGTAAGACGAAGCGTACATGGCTACAACTTGAAAATATTTCACAAAACGACACGAAAAATCATTACCGACAAACACACCGCCATTGATGTCTTGAATCAGCTGAGTCATGGTATTAAAAATGGCGACAAAAATATCAGTCAAACACAAGTGCACAATAAACCACTGCATTCGAGTTAGTTTCGGTTTCCGACATTTTAAAACGAGAAGCACAACAGAATTTCCAAATAATGCTAGATAGAGAATCACCGATTGGACAGCTATTTTGATTTTCGTCAGTTTCGACATTCCACCAGACGATGGCGCCAGCGATTCCGTTGTGCCGTTTGGCATCCATGTTGTATTGTCCAGAAAGAAGCCTGCCATTGTTACATTGTTCATCATGAATTCTTCTTGTGGTGTCGATTGCCTGCAATGAGATGAGAAATGTGTATTTAGCGAAGTGTTTTGTGAAATGATATACCTAATATATGGCAATCGGCCAACGGACGAAACCACATTCCGCGCGAAAATTTAAATAAAAGAAGACAAAAGTCTCCCAAACGTTCTATGAAATAGAAAAAGAAAACAAGCCCCCTATTTGTGTCCTTGTCTCGGAATGCTGGTGCAGGCACTGACCGAGCACTGTACCACGTACCCAGTCAATTCGCAATTTACGAACAAATGACTGCCTTGTACATAGAAAGGACACTGTACCATGCGCGTGTTCTCGTGACATTGAAAAGAGACGTTTTTTAGCTCGTTCTACGTGTTTCAACAAGGAAGTAAGCTGTAAGCAATCGGCGAAGTTTCTAGTTGATTTTTAAGACATTTAACGACTGTCCTCGGGGAAGTTTCCACACTAGGCCTTTCTATTTAACTTACTTCCAATTGTGGCCTTAGGCTGCGTTAACACATTGCTAGTTGGGAAAAACCTTACAACTGCCGTCCAATTATCTAGCAATAGGCCATGTATATGAAACGGCATTTATTTGGTTTCTTTTTCTGTTTTTTATCAGTTATACTGATTAGCGTATAAACTGGAAAAAAATGATAATTAGTTTTAAAAAGTATTTTAAAGCGACTATCCCACAATATTGAAAAATATTGCGTCAATCTATACTATTTTGTAGCACATTTCATTTTGTGGCACATTCCCTTGAATCGAATCTATGAACTACTTTTTGGCAATGATGTCACTAGTTTTATAACTGATTTCCTCTTGTCGATGATCCTCGCTGACATGGCAAAGCCGTCTAGTAGTTCGGAGCCCTATCATGTGTGCTACATACAGTGCACGCTAAAGATGCTTTGACTTGTGGAAAATGAAAGCATCATTGAACACTGAATGGCGTTGCCCCATCCCTCTTTGTTAGCCCAGTGAGGAGCAGAAAAGTAAAACGTAAGACACCGTTTAAAAGTTAATTATATTCCTACTTTATTCATGGGCGCAGATCACGGGGGGGTACCTGTGGTACATGATATCCTGTAACCCCCCCCCCCC